CGTGAGGTTTCCTCGCGACTTAATGATGGGGGTTTCAAAGGGGGCTAGTTAAAACATTTTTTGGCAGGGCTTCACTATGAAAATATCAGTGGCAGGACCAATTTTTCAATCAGGTATACGGAAGCTTTTGAGCAGGTTGGCACAGCCATGGTAAAGCAGGCCTCTACTGAACTTTACTTGCGTAATGTAGATTTGACAAATTCAGAACCACCAGCTGTGAAATAGCTATGGAGAGAAAATGTGATGGGACGATCTACACCCGGTATTGAACTTCATCTGAGAGGGGGAACTACTTGAGCTCCAACTATCATAAAGTTGTTGTTGCTGAAGCTGATACAATAGGGGGTACCAGATATACCCTCCCCGCCAAACATGAAGCACCACAGAGGAGACAAATGCTTTCTTGATTGAGACCCACAAGACAGAAGGTCGTGGCTGTCATATCGCTGAGATTTTACAAGGGATAACACACTGCTCGAGTTAGCCAACCAACCACTCGCACCTCGCAGCCCAGATGTGTTGACTGCATGACGCATCTATCACCGTCGCCATGGTGCTGGTTGCTCCTGTTGCTCCAGTGGTTGTGATTCCTTCCCTTGTGGCATTGTTGTGGTTGCTTGTTGATTTTGAGGAGAGACGCCGAGTGACTGGATAATGAGAGTGATAGTCTGGATAATGACCACTATGCATACTTGATCCAATCCTCTTGAATCAACCGTTGGATCCCTCTCTACTATCTAGTAGCTAGACCGGCGGCAGTGGATTAGCTGGACGGCTGAACGAGTGACGAGTCGAGTGTGCAGAGTGACAGTCCATCATCAGTCGCACCTCTATTATCAAGCCCCAATGAATGATGCAATCGGAGTGACTTCGGTGTAGAAGTGAAAGCCATTCTCATTGAAATGTTTTCTTTTCTCGGGACATGACAGTCAAGTTGACGAGTCCTTTTTGTCGATCGCTACGGATAACAAGAAGAGGAGAGGCTGCTGCTGTCGTACAAGGAGGAGGCTCTGTTAACTCCAGCCCCACTAACAGCCTGTACTGATCATCATCGAGCCATTGAAAAGGCAACAAGAGGTGGCTACATGACAACTCACATGCGCAGAGGAGAGTGGATCCTACTGCTGAATTCATCCCGTTCGATTCCTGTATTGGTACCCACTTTCCTGCATGCACAAAGTCCGTGACGAGTGACTTGGTCTTGTACGATAAACTAGATTTAACTAGTTAGATCTATCGGTATACGGTAGGGGAGAAGCTATCATTGTCGAGTCGGTCGATCGATCGCTTCATCGCTACGAATAATAAGAGCTCCAGCTCTGTTAGCTCCAGCCCTATTACCAAACTGAACGAAACATGTCCAATCGTCGTCGAGTCCTTGAAAATCAATAACAGTCAACCGGAGGAGGCTATACAGCAATACACACCAGTAAACCAACCAAACGGAGAGTGGATCACCGTACGATGGAGGAGGTCATGTTAACTGCAGACGTATCACCAACCTGAGCAAATGTCGTCGAGTCATTGAAATGCATCTATCAACCAGAGGAGGCTACATGCTATTTCCTAGTGTTGTGGTGGTGATTCCTGTGTCAGCACCCATTTTTCTGATGTATACGAAGAAGGAAAAAATTGTTATTTTTGTGTTGTTGCAGCTGTTCTTGTAGCTCCTCCTGGTTGTGCAGGCTGCTGTCCTGTTGTGAACACAGTTGCCATTATCGGTATAGACTATCGATGGCCTGGTTTTTCGTAGTCATCAGTTTTAGTACCGTAGTAGTAGCAGCAGCGGTCACTGTTGTGTCATTGACTGGCTGCTTGTTGCAATTTCTTTGTGACCGATGAGTGGTAGTGGTATCGACTGGCTGTGGAGGAAAATCTGACAGCAGCGTTGCTTCTTGGATGGCTTTGTTGGCTATCTAGCTAACGTATCTATTTAGTATTTGTTTTTAGCTTAGTCATCTAGCTAGCTAGCTAGGTATTACTTCAGGCTCGAGCAAGAGGTGACGTGCTTGGGTTGCACTTTTTGCTGCTGCAGTACTACCGGCAGTACAGGTAGCTGCCCAATCTAGCTAGCTTGCTGGAGTACTACTAGCTAGTAGTAGTCTACAGTAGCAAAACTGGCTATGTCCTTATTCGGACCCATTAGAATTTTAGATACTTTTGACTCTCTCTGTTTGAAGTTGCGGTCGAAGACGACGCACCCTTGGAGGTGTGGAGATTCTTCTTTTCCGTTCTCTTGTGCGACCTTCATAAAGGTGAGGTCATCGCGGGTCTCGCAAAGGGTTTTTAGATAACTCCAATCGATGTTAGTCCAGTTGTGGAGGGTGAATACGAATTTGCGACCAGAGGGGTTAAAGGTTGGTGGCATGTTGTAAGTTCTTATGGTTTGTTACAACGTTGGAGATTGGGACAGGTCAGGGGCGGAGCAGGCGAGAGCACGTAAGCCGGGTACGCAAGCCGGGTGTGGGATAAAACAAATTAGTTGGTGAGGTTTAATAATTATTTTTTTTGTTGTTGTGTTGGTAGTAGGCATGGGCGATGAAGTAGTGGGGTGTATCACTTGGTAGAGGGCGGTACCAGGGCTTTGCCTTGTCGGTGAGGAGCCTTTCATTGTTGCGGATGGTGGTGAGGTGAAGCGGCGTTGCAACATTGAATTCATGTTTACCTTGAGTTTTGACGTTTGAAGTCTCAGTCAATAGTGCGCTTTTGATGCGGTGCATTACAGCTCCGGCATCTGCCAATGTTGGAGTCTTCGTACCAGGGTAACTGTCGGAGAATCGGACCATGACCCTGATGGCGGCTTTGATCTTCCGGTACTTGCAACGGCATTTGCTGTCAACCTTGGGTGTGCTCTTGTAAGATTCCATGAAGTTGCAAGCGAAAAAATTGATGAAGACGATGGTGGGGTCAGTGTTCCTTGTAACCAAGTCGAGGAGTGATTTGAGTGACCGGATATTTATCTGTGACTGGAACAGGGACTGGGAGTGCTCTGTGGTTGGTTTGGAAGTTACGGTTGGAGTCACGATTGGCGTGGGAGTTGTAATCACAGGAGTGTGAACGGTGGGCACAGGAGTGTGAACGGTAGGAGGTTGTGGTGGTGTGACTGTAGGATTGTTGTTGGTTTTGTCGAATAATTCTTGGCATGTTGACTTGAATTTGTTGAATTGGGATAGTTCAATGCCGTCTCGTTTAAGTCGAAGCGTGAGGGTTGCGACAAGGATGTGGTTGCTGGGGTCTTCGAATATTCCATTGGGTTCTGCGCGGATCTGATCTAGGAGTTGATCCCATTTGGATAGGAGACATACAAGAATCATCTGCTTCATTTGGATGTTGAGCAAGTCTTCAGAGATGTGCCCGAAGAAGACCGAGCAGATCTTATCACCGAGGTCTTTTGAGATGGTGTCATAGGATGGAATGGTGACGCGTTGGTAGTCGTCACCTCCAATCTTCGACCAGCCTGCAAGGCTTTTCGCTCCATCGAGAAGGTAGGGAAAGGGATTCGAGAAGTACGAGGCGCGGGCGGTTCCTTTTCCGATGTTCCACCCGCCGAACAGTTGAGCTGCAATGTGGAGTTTGTTGCCGTCAAGGAGGAATTGAGCTGTATGCTTGCCGAAGTGAGATGTACCTTTTTTGACGGAGTTCTTCTCTGCGGGAGGGTATCTCTTCCAGAGGGTGTTGAGCATCGTCTTATAGTGGGCTGAGACAACAGACTCTCCGGATAGGGTGGCGATGGATGGCATGAGAACATTGCCCCCACGAATGAACAAGGATCGGCCGATGGCGACAACAAGATCACCAAAGACTTCGTGTTTGTTTGGAATCAAGGGGTGGTTGTTGTCAACTCCCATTTTGTCTCGAACGAGGTAACATTGGAGAACGTTGTTGGTGGATCCTTCACGGAGCTCTCTGGTTGAGAGGCTTTGTATGGTGATGCGGGATGTTTCGGTTGCTCTACTGCAAAGCCTGAGTGTTGCTGTCTGAAAGACATAGAAGTCAATGTACTTTGCTAGGTTGAACCACAAACAGCGTTGAAGGATGAAGGTGATGTCGGTGGTGGTGTAGACTTTGTTCTTCGGGGAAATGGGTGATGCTTTCTTGTGGTCTTTGATCATCGTTTTCATTTTGTTAAAGGCTGATGTGTAAGTTTCTTCGATGACTTTATTATATCGAGATAAGATGAGTTTCTTCGCCAGCTGGTTCTTGATTGCGGGCATGTAGCGTTCCAAAGTTCCCAGTGCGTAGTCTTCTCCTGTGCTTTTCTTGAGGTTAAACCAGAAAGTTGGTTGACCGTTCCAGAAGGCGAACCACCATCGTGTTACATCTTCATCCTTGGTCGAGAAGGAGCCTCCGGTTTCTTCTAGGTCGGTGTATTGGATTCGAGGTAGCTCTAGCTTGTCCTGGAGGGAGTTGAGGTACGGTTGGATTAAGGCGGCGGTACTATTGTGTTTCGCTTGGTTAGATTTGGAAGACGAACTGTAGTAGTTGACATTGATCAATGCTAGTGGCCTGTTAGGCGACATTATGTTGTCGGAGGGATGTTGCGGTCATTAGGTGGGCTCTGGAGTTGGAAATAATGAGCTTTTGGGTGGAGGTTTGACTTCAGGATTGGTGCGAAGCATGCATGGCACACCGGAGGTGGTAGGCTATGCGGGTGGCAAAGATCTGGATTTTGGATGTTCCCGGAACGGATTTGGTGGTGTCAAGTTCACGGAATGCTGGGAAGTGGAATCAGAATTCTAAACTGCTGGAAAACTGCCGGAGGAGGGGTGGTTTATATTATTTAAAGGTTTTCCACCAGCAGGGCTAGGGACCGTTTACTGGTGCTTGGGTTGGAAAATGGCGCAAATTTTTTCTGAAGAGACGGAGGTGTGCTTGTGCGAATATTTCCTTCCTGAAAAATATGTCTTCCTTTTACTACTAGCTAGCTAGTAACTTAGCTGGCTGAGATCTCCTTGGAGCCTCATGCACTTTCCGCACCATCTCATTTGTTAGCTAGTTTGCCAGAAGCGTCTATCCATCCTCAGAAGAAGATGGAAGCCCAAATTGCGGCCATGGCGGCCAAGCGTTACAGTGAGAGGCACGATGACATTGCCGAGGCGGTGAAGCACATTAATGAGCACAAGGATGATGAAGATGACGATCACGTGTATGTTCCTCCACCGGTCAAGGAGCCCGAACCCGAAGAACCCAAAGTGGAGGAACCACCCAAAGAACCCGATGCCAAAGCCACAGTGACAGAAGCCTATGCACCCACAAAATCCACCGTCACCACCACGGTGCAAACCTACACGGAAGTGGTGCCCACCACTCCACCGCCCCAAAAATGCTGCTGTGTCATTCTGTAGCGAGACCACAAAAGCTTTGTCTTCTTCATCAAGAAAGTGAATGAATCTATGGACAGTGCAGAAAAAAAGCTGTCAAGAAAAAGTGGGAAAGATGGCACCTCTACATTTCGAACATTAGCTAGGTTTTGTGTGGATTGGCCAAGCAGCAGATACCAGAAATGCATGATTTTTGAAATTTCATGTTTACATTACAATCTACCATACTTTGTCTGGCACCATGAATGAAAATCCAATCTGCTTCTTTCCTTGCTCTGTGTCCTTTTGAATATTATGTGTGTTGGCTAAATCAAGTGGTACCATTAAAATTGTTTCTGTCAGATTAGTATCATCCGTCGTCTCTGTGTGGTTTTGAGTTGAGAAGTTTCAAGCATCTCGATCTACTAACCAGCGGGATTCCAAATGGATCGTTCGTCCTAGCTAGGTCTGAAAGTTTAAGTCGAGGCATGCTTCGCTGATGGCATGCCTCCGGATGGATGCATCTATTAATAGTTCCTTGTCAATCTGCTTTTGAGTTATCTAGCTAGAAACTGTAGCATCGTCTGTCTGTGTTTGTAGTCTTTCAGGTTGATGGAATGCTGGTGGCAGTCCTTCGGTACAGTTCCCAAAGGACAGGCTGTGCCCAAGCGAATCAGGAGATGAACTTTAGACACAAAAGGGCAATTTGTAGATTCCACTCTACTAGCTAGCTAGGGGTGTAGCTATATTCGTTCCGTCCCATTCATTCCATGCTCTACTAGCTCCCCGTACCCGAACGGTGAGGTGTCATCGGCTCGTCGATTTTTGTCCAGGTCAGGAATCGAGCAAGAAGCACTGGGCCAAGCTCCGCTCCTTCCAGCGAAGCTTTGTGCTGGCTATTGGAACCAGAATGCCATGCGGGTTTTGAATTGTTTGCCGAAGCGGATGAATGTATTCTTCTCCTCTAGCTAGCTACGGCACATACTACCGGTACAGAAAGCCTACAAATACTATGCCTACATTAGTACTCCTACGAACTGAAGCAACCAAAGAGACCAATATTATTACTACAAAGCCCAATCAAGTTTCGGTTTTGAGACGCAACTCTGGAGGCAGCTCCTCTTGACTTTCGATCCAATCCCCAAAGGCATCGTGCCGCCGTTCCATATCCGCTTGTTCTGCCGCTTCATTGCGAATCGTAAAGTCTTCCACACCATCCCAAAAGGATGCTTGTACTGTATGGTTGTTGTTGTTGTCATTGCCAAATAGTTCAAACACCCGACCATGCCACGCCTTGACGGCATCACTGGCGGCCCCCGGCTGGGCAAACTTGACCACAACCACACCTTTTCTAGCAAACACGGTAATCTTTTCGACCGTTCCAAATTCTTGTTCGCACGTACTCCGGACCTTGCGTTCCAACAATTCCAATTTTTGATTTTTGTCATTGTCGTCATTGTCATCCTTCAAATCACTAGCATGAAATAGATTGCGCAGAACGATAATATGCAATCCCTTGCGTCCTCCCGTCAATCGACCATTGATTTCTCCTTCGTCCCAATCGACGGCTTGTTGGGTGGCGAGTTTGGCCACTTTGCGTTGGGCGTCCGATACCTTCTTTTTGGTCGTATGATGATCGCCCCGTTGTTGAAATTTGGCTCGTTCTACTCGAATGATATTCGACGATAATGTAAGGCGAAACGGCGCTTCATCCAAGACTTGCAACGCCAATTCCACCGATTCCGGTCTTGCGTAGCAGAGTGATGCGTCTCCTTTGCATTGATGTTGCGAGTCTCGATAGAGTTTGATTTTGGGCCGTTGTGTGGCTGGATCTAAATCAATAATGCCCACTTTGGAACAGAATTTGGCCAATTCATCTTCGGTTGTATCGGGTGGAAGTCCGGTAATGTAAATCCAACACTTTGCATTTTTGGCGGCAAACTTGGACTTTTTGGATTTCTTTTTGGTGTTGTTGTTATTCTTGTTGTTGTCCTTGTTGACTGTTGTAGTACTAGTGTTGCTGTTGTTGTTGCCAATTGTAGAATGCTGTGTTTTGGCCTTTTTGCGTGGCGGTTGTTGTTGCTGTTGTGGCAATAAATCCTCATGTATCCAATTGCCCGTACGAGGATCCTTGACATATTTGGTGCCCCCATCGCTTTCGTAGGTTTCCTCCTCGTTATTGTTGTCGTCTTGTTGTTGTGTATTTTCACCACCATTTGATTTGGGTCCCATTTTGTCGGTCGAGTTCAAAAAGGCTTCCAGTTCATTCTGGATTTCGGATTCTTTGGTTTTGTCTTCTTCTTCTTCTTCTTGCAGTGCTTCGGGTTTGTGGTCGTTGATACTGCTGTTGTCCTCATAGACCATGACGGATACATCGTACTCTTGTGCTGCTGCATTTGAATTCAAAGCCTGCGTTGGTTGTTGTGGTGGTTTAGCGCCCTCTTGAAAAGCCTCGAACGCCACCACAAGGTCGGGCAGCGCCGTGAGAAGCGTCCATTGATTCCCTGTGGTGACCCCATAGACTTGCACTTTGTCCATACCGTCTCGTATGGCATGGGCGAGTTGTCGACACGAGACGGGTCCCTGTTGTCCCTGCTGTGGCGTAGTATAGTAGAATGCCGATGACGCGGCATGGCGTAGCACGGGAATGTTTTTGGCGGGTTTCCATTCCTCGTCGTACTCGCCATTGTCGAGTAATCCCAACAGTTGCGACTCGGCGGTAAATCGAGACGTGCTGGATGATGGTGGACAAAACATGCGACACAATTGTCGCACCGTCAGACTGGTCGAGGATGTGCCGCCTGTACTCGGATTCTGGTACAGGAATCGACGCTCCAGCGAGTGCTCTGGGTTGTTGTCATTACTAGGAGCAGCATCGCTGTCCTTCATGGTCGCTTCCTTCATGGCCATGTTTCTATTTTGTGTTTTTGAGAAATCTTGTTTGCATGGGTTTGAACGTTTGGAGGAGAAGTTTAGCCTTAACCCTACTCGTGAAATGAACTACAAGGAAAGATCGAAAGATCCAAAGATCCAGATCTTTTGTGAACGCTTTTTTCTAATCTTGGCGGATGTTCCGGCACCATTCAACAGACTGCTGATGGAGGAGCAAGGTGCGATCTTATCAGGGTCAAGCAGCATTGATACATACAATCAACAACGAAGTTAGCCCCCACATTTCTTTTCAAGTCAATCGAAAGCAACAAAGGTTTGGATCGATTCAACATGGCAGAAGAGGAAGGCTTCAACCCGGAAAATGTCTTGGCGGCCATGAGAGCCCATGCCAACCAACCACAAGATATAGTCGATCCCACCATGCAATTGACTGTCGCCGAAGTGGATCGAGCACGACAAGTCAAGGCGGCTGTGGAAGCCATTCCGGGATTACACTCGCTGTCCGATTTCGATATTGTGCAATATGCACTGTGTGCAGTCGACGAAACCATGGATCAAATCTGTCATCGCGTTCATTGTCAACAAGCGTTTCGACAACAATACCAAATTGACGATACGGCCGCACAAGGAGTGGCACTCTTTTCCCAAATGACACTCCAACATCCCGGCATGTTTCTCGCCGCCGATTATTTGGCCTCCAGTGAAGGCTACATGTGCATTGTCGATCACGCCAAATTTTTTCCACCGAAAACAGACGCCCAAATTCGCATTCACATGGCGGGCACTTTCTATCTCAATCAAGCACTCAACCCCACATTTCGTGCCATGCGCAATGGCACCACGTCCATGATTGAATGCAGTGGCGCGTCCTTTGACAATATGGATCTGAAGTATATGGAAAAATTCGCCGTCGAATTCTTTAGTCATTATCCTCAAAAAGCCAAGGAAAAGTTTTTTAGCAGTGCCGAAAGCAGTATTACCATGCTATTTGCATTGTGGAATCGATTCTTGCCCGCCAGTATTCGAGAAAAGATTCATTTGGGAGGAGAACTTTCGGGTATGGATGGACAGAGAATTGATGTCTTTTACAAACAACCCACACCCGAAATTGCGCGCGACCGATTGTGTCGCAAAGTACTCCATTTGCTGACGCGCCGATACGACAATCAAGCCAACTTTTCCTTGTCCAAACCAAGTGTCATGGATGGCTAGTAGTAGCCACAAGAGCTTTTTTGGTGAGAAGAGATTTGCTTCTGTTGCAGACGATGTCTGGGAGGAAGAATTCCGGATGCTTGTCGCACAGCGGCATTGTCGAGCAATGCCGGAGAAGCAAGCGTCACAGGTGTGAATCAAATCGAATCAATCAATCAATCGTTGCCGTGCATGCAGTAAACCTCTGTGATCGACTACAATTATAAATAATTAGGTGGGGCTCTGGTTCTTTGGAAAAGAATTGGGCATGGCATAGGAGTTGGGATTGGGGTTGGTTTGTCTCTATGCATGTTCTACTACAGCTACAATTTACCACAAATTCGTCTTGCTTGGAATTTTAAAATTGATGAGCCTGAAGACAGACGTGCGGCTCGACCGAATTGGAAGCTGTGTCAGAACTTTGAGAGTTCTACGTACTGTCACCATGGAAAAAGTTGGTAATGGTTGGCGCAATTGTCAGAACAGGGACCAAATATGTACCGTGCAATGGCGGATGAGAGGATGAACAAACATAAAAAGAAGCACAGACTGGCTAGTGCAGATTTGTCGAGGTTAGTCATGAGAGTCGTAGCGACGGCAAGACACCAGTAGTACAACAGGCGGAGAGTCTTAAAAAGGAAGATGGGCTTCTCGATGATCGATGATGTCTAAACTCTATCTACTAGCTAGAGATGCATTGCTTCGTCTGCTTACCAGACACTGGCCATGCTCAGATCTTGAGAAGGCAAGACATCGAACACACAAGACTTGGTTTCCTCGGCATCGTGCAGGTTGCTGCAAGCCCTTTCAGCGTGATTTTGAGTCTTGCAGACTCTGCCAATCGGCGCTTTCGGAGTTGTTTCTTGGCAGCAGATTTGTTACTGAAGGATGGAGGCGTGATACACTTTTGTCCAACAACAGCACCTTCATAGGAATGGAACAGCTTGGGTTCATCACCAGTCACTTGCCATTCTTGTCCAAACTTGTGAGTGACCTTCATGAGAGTTTTGCCATCTCGACAAGGCGAGCACCATTGTGATCATAGCTTCCCAAAAGGCCAGAAGATCCATGGTAGTTTTCAGAGTCAAGCCAGTCAACATCTACACGGACGAAGGACTTGAAGGACTTGAATTGCATCTTCTCCTTTGATCCTTCCAAGTAGATGTTCACTTCACGGATGCCAGGACTGGATTGCTTGTAACGAACCATGCAACCCTCCATCTGGGTACGTGCCCATTTGCCTTGTCCAATGCCAGTGACCAGGTCCCCATAAATCCAAAGCCAGTCATTGGATTCAGGGTTGGCAGGTATCTCCATGGTAGAATCTCCTATCATGACTGCAGCAGTTTCCACTGAGCTCCAGAAGTCTTGAATCTTTGTACGAACGTGGATGTCCATTCCCAAGCCCTTCTTGAAATGGGGTTGTGGAGGAGGACAAGATCACGTTCTCCATGGAACTGTGTGTCAGGGTGCAAGGTGGGGAGGTGAGTGAACACTAATGGAAAACCACAAACGTTTCATTTGATGATAAAACTCACATCATACATATCTCCTCCAAAGGTCTTAAATGGGGATCACCCTGTGAAGGGAGATTGATACGGCACAAGAACGTTGGGTCAGAGAGGAGTATCCATCACATGAGGGCAGCGAAGGCCCTCTTTTGTCACTGGTAGAACTGATTGACTCATACCTTCTCGTAAACAGATGATGGTTCACCGCTTCGGCCATGCGGTTGGTCAGGAGCTGGTGGGGTTCGTTTCTGAGTCTCTTTCAATCTGTTCCGCTTCGAACTCGATATCTTCAGTTACTTGTTGCGCGTTCCTCCGACTCTAGCTCGCGCTCTTCTACAATGGCATCCACGCTGTTTTTCATGCCGTCGGGTTTTCCTTCTTCTTCCTCAAATGTGGTTCATTCAATCAAGCACTCCAGGTCGTCTCCGTGTACACAACTCCTTTACTTCGGGAGCAACCTTTTCCAAAGCCTTTTCCAAGCCATCATCGCAGGCGACGTCACAAGTGTCTGCCCGTTGTGTCAGAAACTGGCTGTGTGCTTCGTTTCGAATACAGTAGTTGTTGGCATATTCAAAGGCAGCACCAAACCGATGTTCGACTTTAGTAGCTGGAACATCAACCACCGTTTCCCACTAGACCAATCAGGTTTCGCTTTTGGTATAATCTGGGATGCAGACTTGGAAAGTGAAGAGACATCCGTGCCTATCGCTTTCTTTGGTCGATAGTGAATGGTAATGCCAGACTCCGGATCGTAAAGCCATCAGTTTACATTTCCTTGCTTGATGCAATGCACTCCAGTCGACTTGGTGGCGTAAGTACATCTACCATGTGCGATGTGGATGCTTTCTAGGTCGATCCTGTCCACAGGTTGAAGTTGACCTGCACATCTGGTTCGCCTTGTCGGCCGGTGTGGACATGGAAGCCTCTCATCACACTTACCTTGGTGCTCGTATGGAATCGCCCTTGGACTTCGAGAGCCGAGTCCAACGATTTGGTCACGATGAAGTCCCCATCTCCTTGTGCGTCATACTTGAGTGAATCGTACGTTGTCACATGTGGATCTCCCCAGGTGGAACCACAAGTTTGAGGGAGAGGTGGCGCCTCTGGAACGGAGGCGCAAAAGACTTGAACCTCAACATCGGGTGACAATGATCAGCCAACGAAGGAAACAAACAGTCAAAGAACTGATTGTGCAAAATTTGGATCGCGCCTACGAATACCTAAAATTTCAATTAAAAAATCTATAAATAGTCAGGGATTATTGAAAAAGAAAAAAGGATTAAGTACTAAGTAGTAGAGGGGGAAACCCACTCGTGACAGCTGTCTTCAAAAGTACGTTAATTAATATACACGAGTGTCAGAACTTAAGACAGCGTAAGGTATGGTCAGGGGATGGGGTATTAATAGAACGCTTTTTAATGTTTTCTCATATCTCTCTATCCCCCTGAAGAGTCCAGAAAATAGCTTCAGGCACTGTCTGAACAGTACGGTAGGCGTTGGCTGCATGAACCATTTTTAATAAAAAGAGACATATTATTTAAAAAACTGGTACCTAGAGTCACCTTTGTGCAGTACTCTAGCTATTAAATAGTAACACTCCGTCTGTGTTGCTATTTGTTTGCTTCCAGTTTGCCACAGTAATGTACTGAAAGGCACTAGCTAGCTAGCACCAGGCAAAAGCAAGCGGGAAACCAGAGAAAAGGAAAATGGTTTGTTCTATGTAAAACTGATTGTATCCGTGTAGTATCCCAGAAGATAAGATACCGATACATTTCGTATATGTATAGGTATACATGGAAAGAAGGTTTGCCATGGTCATCATCAGTCAAGAGTGACATACCTCGGAATAGACTGACGCGGGATGTTTGACTGGCCGGAGCTCTCACGCAGCAGCGGCTTTGTGAAAGACAGTGTCCGGTACGGAGACGACATTGAGCTGGAAGAAGGGAACGTCGGAAGCAAGAGTGTGGCGTTGGGGTTGCACGTATTGCTGATAAGTAGCCAGCAACGAGCGGATCCATAAGAGGCACAACTTGAGGTCATCGGGGCTACCAAAGTAGCTGTACAAGTTTCCCATGTTGTTGTAGATGGCCATGAGAAGAACGATGACATCTTCCATCCTGCCATCACCCAGTGCTGCGGAAATGGCACGGAGGGACCGGGTGTAAAGGTGGAGCGCCTTGCGCAGGTTCTCTGGGTTCATGGCTTCGCCTTGGGTTACCTTGGAGAGTTCTCGATGGTGAACGCAAACGGCCAGGTTGTACAGCACAAACGAGATTGTGAGCTGCATTCCTCGCACTCCCTGGTAGTTGGTAAAGACAGTGGTAAACGCATTTCCAAACATGCGGATCAGAGTAGTGTCCAGATCATTCTGCACTGTCTCATAAGCCTCCACATCTTCTCTCACAACCGACACAGAGACAATCGAGACATCCTCAGGGAATGGGTTGTTTGCTTGGCTTCCATACCCTGTGCGACCATGCAAGCGAAAGCCACCGGCATCTTGGGCGACCATGCGAAGTCCAGCCATGGCGGTTCGGAAGTTGGCAATGGCGTCACTGTACTGGCCTCTTTGCAGGCAAGCAACCCCCTCCATGTTCCATTCAAACACCGTCTTGTCCGCTGGGTTTGCCACCATCTTTGACAATTCAAGAAAGAGAGAACGAGAGAAAGAAAGATAGATAAAGCAACGGTGAATGAGTTTAGTTGAGTAGCAGTCGGAGATAGTCCAGAGTTTCAAAGTTTTGTGACCCCAAGCGTCGTTCTTTCCAACAGCAGCCAGCGCAGTCAGCAGCAAAGTATCCTACTGCATTTCCTGGGATAGTTCGGGGCTACTTCAGCTTCCGCAACAGCGGGCTTCTCGTTTCATTAGGTCGTATCTCGTATTACAGGTTGGCACAGGTCACACTCACTAGTCTAGCTAGCTAGCCGACTTGCCGAACCGAAATGCGACAACTGGAGTGACCTTCAAACAAATGGGGTCTTCTCAGAAGCCGCGGAACTAATGGTTGCCACCACATGACATGTCGCCTCTGAAATGGCCCCGAAATCTTCCGGTTTCCTGTGCGGTAGTCCATCTGAAACAAAAAATATAAAATATTTTTGAATCAATCCAATTGGTAGAGTGCCATCAACCGAAAACACAAGTAGAACCGAACAAAAAGTCAAAAAATAATTTTGAAACATGCAATTAACAAAACCTTTCTCTTGAGTCATCTGTGACACGGCGTCAACGCAACCCAGGGGAAGCAGCCTGGGTCCGCGTAAAAATACTGGATACGACGGACAAAAAACCCAGAACTTCATTAGGAGACACTTCAGACTTGTTTTTAAGAAAGCTCGTCTTCCCCTGTGGCACCGTACATGTAGCAATACAGCACAACTCATGAACAGTTCTTTCTCACTGTAAAACATCTCTCTCATGCGCACACCTGCACACCCTACTGGATCCCTGTAGAAATCTCCCTGTACCTCTGCGGATTACTTTTTGGGAAACTTTGCCTCCACCCTGCCTGCTTCCCCAACCAAAGGGGACTCAGCTGACACCAGTCCCTAGGGGCGGGTGGGCTCCTTTGCCAGACTGCCTGGCTCTGAGGATTGTTCCTAACCACAGAATTTACCGTACGTACGTACGCGAAATGGAAATAATTCGAAATAACTGCCGAATTCGGAAAGGTGACCTCCAAATCCACAGATACGGCGAACCGCAGGAAATGTTTATAGTAAAAAAGTGGAGCTGCGGTTCGCAGGATGAATGGATTTGGAATTCGCGTAGGGCCAATCATAACGCTCGAGCCTGTCGATCCACTGACTCAATCAGTCGCTTCACGAGTCTCTAACTCTAATAAACCATCCTTAACTCTAATAAACCAGTTCGAATAAGCATTCGCGCCTATCGGTAGCTAGCTACCAACAGACCGATCTTGACAACCAAGAAGGTTAACAAGCAACCTACCTGGTAAGGGTAGCCTTCTAGCTAGTACTTTTGTATGCTTGTTAGCCTTCTTGTTTGTGGACGTGGGTCTGTTGATAGCTAGCTAGTTAGTTAGCTAGCTAGCTACTGTAGCTAGCCAGCTAGCTAGCTGGCTGGCTATCGCTTCGTGGTACACCGGTATTAATAGTGCAATCCCAGCCCTGCTTACTTAAACCAATTCGGCTTGTATGTGGCTTCGCGTACGGCGTATCTCCTCCGGTTGGTTAAGAATGAAGCCACATACGCGATTACTAAATGAAAATAAATGTGGTTCTTTTTTGGTTCTCGGCGTACGTACGAACCACATGTTCGCGGATAGGAACGTACCTGAGAGTATGGTGGGCCAAACTAGCATTAACACTTAGGAATTCGCAGCAATGAACTGGGTTGCCACCCATCTCATAGTTTCTGTCTGCTATTTGGAAAGATGAGTAGCTCCCCTGATACAGCTGTTGCAGTCAGAGACAGCCGCGATGGCAGTGGCTTTGCCGGTACCCCGACCAACGACATTTCCATTGCCGGAGAAGCCGCCACAAGGGCCGAATTTGATACTTTTGCTGCTGCCGAGTATGAACAAGATCTCCCACAGCAAGCACCGGATCTGGACGACGAGTTGGAGTTCTCAACCGAGGAGTCGGTACCTCTGGCCGATTGAAAATTCTGCCATTACTGGAGCTTTATCCCAACATGGAACAAGATCACATTTGCAAGCCATCAGTAGAGAGGGCGATTCGATGCATCGCTCCTCGTTGGGCCAAGTACTGTGGAACGATTAACCAACAGGAGCCATTGGTTCAAAACCATGGTCGAGAACCGATGGATTCTTTCGGTTTCTTTCGGCTGATCTTCATATTGGCAAATCGGTTCTTATCAAAGCTAAGACGTTTGTGAATACGCATCTTAAGTGTGAACACTACTCCCGCCAAAAGGAAGTCAATATGCCGAGTTGGTCCAAATCAAGGTTGGAGAGTCGCTGTCTGTACAGAAAAGTGTGTCTACGGTCACATCCCGCGCAGCAGCTCAATCAATTGATGCATGTGAAGATATCCAAGCCGGGCTTCAGCAGCTCCTAACTCCGGAACTAACTAGAGAGATGGCATTATCTGTATTTCGCACCAAGCACAATGGAGCAGTGGCCAAGCTATATCCATTCTACCAGCTTCAGTTTGCTTCTCAATATTGGTCAATGAGTGCCACAACCAGAAGAGGAGAGGAATTCCGCGACCAACGTCTAATACAGCGCAATCATACGACCCTTGATGAGACTGGGTTTCGTGGAATGAGAGCTTGCCAAATTGTCACAAATAAGGCAAAGCACAACAAAGATGGCCGCCTGGAGTATACCTACATTATCCCAAACATGGATTCTCTCAAGGATGCAGGTGCATGGTCAGGCGCCTTGTTTCTGTGGAGGCTCAAGGCAAGAATCTAGCTACCGGTGATAGTTTTTCAGTAGTGGCTCTCGTTGTCAATTATTTACCTGTACAGTTCATCCTCTCTCCTTTTCTTTAGCTAATTAGGAAGAAGCATCTTTGTTTTAGCTTTGCGTTGCATAGCATGAAGCTTTTAAAAAAATACAGCTGCCAAGGTTTCATGCTTTCAAACCATACGGTAACAGTGCCAATAGATGTACCGGTGCCGCCGCGGTCTCTAAAGTCTCTGCTGTGAATCACAGTGTGTGAAACATCAGTGGTCAACCTACGGTTACGGCTATCTGGTTGAGTCTTTTAACCATTTACATAACCTATAACCTGTAACCAGATAGATTTTCGCTATCTGGTTGGTAACCTATAACCTAACCTTTTACGATCTGTAATTGGTTCCGGATGTGGTTAGGTTATAGGTTACCTACCTGGTTATTCGGAACGTAACCGGTTACGTAAACGGTTATCTAACTGGTTACGTATCTGGTTACTCGGAACGTATCTGGTTGATCGCCGCAGTTTTTTCTTCCTGATTCGCTCATAAATTCTCAAAGAGGAACCTGATAGGGAACCTATGCCCAAATCTACCTGGTTTTGGTTACATATCTGGTTACGTATCTGGTTCTTCGCAACGACCTATCTGGTTACATATCTGGTTATCTAAGAAGAAACCCGAAGAAGAGATTTCCCCAGCCTTTCAGGATATGCTGGAGTTGGGAGTGTTGGAGGCCATGAAGGCGTTGGAGGAGGCCCGCCAGGATGATTAGGCAGCCAGCTTGGGCAGGTCATGTTTGGTAACCAGATAGGTAGTTTCGTAACCATTTATGTAACCTATAACCTAACCTGTAACCTAACCTGATAGAATTACTGTATCTGGTTGGTAACCTATAACCAAACCAGATAGAATTTTCTATCTGGTTGCTGTAACCTATAACCTAACCGACCAGTTCAAAATCTATCTGGTTCTCACACCCTGGCTGTGATATCTTTTAGTCGAGTGCGATGGGTCTCATAAAGCCTTGAAGTTGAATATTTTTTTCAATTAATGCACAGAGGACTACGTGTACTGTACATGACTACTACTTTTACAAGTAGTTCGTTTACGTTGTTTTGACGCAGATTGGACAGCAAGAGACAGGTCCCATGGCCATGGGTGAGCCGGCAAAGATTCATCTTCCAGATTAGGAGTACTACATGTAGTAGAGTACCGTATTACTGTAATAGCTCCAGATTCGATTCGATTCCAGTTAATAAAATAGATATAAGCCTGCGTAACCGATACCGCTCCCAGTACGCGTACCAGTGTACCGGTACTGTTCGTTCAAGAGCGGTTCACTAACTTCAATGAAGGCAGTAATACTGTTTTTTGCATACTGAGAGCTCCATGTACAGCCCACATCGAGACTGAAAACTGAAAACAGCTCTGAAAACAGAAAGAAAAGAACACACGCAGCAACGTACCTTTCCTGGTACGATACCGTACCAGGTACGATGTACTCGAGTACCGGTACGATATAGTCTAGCTAGTAGCATTTTTCCGACAATCGATCGTTTGTCACCTTGTAATAAGCTCTCAGTACCGGTATCTACCGGCACCTGTACGACCAAAGCTGCTCTGAATCACTTGACGCATGCAAGTTACGTGTACGCTGCACAGATCAATTCGTTTCTTTCAAGACGGGCACCTGCGATAATATTTCGTTCCTCGCGCACGATACAGCTCGCCCTCCCTCTGGCACGCTAGGTCGTGCAGGCACAAAACCCACGCGCATTGCAGAAGAGAAAAAAGAGATGACAATGCCTTCACAAGCCACCATGAGCACGAAGGACTCGCCTGTGGAAGCCCCAAGCAAGAGCAGGAGCGTCAAAGAGGAGGGAAGTTCGCCTGAATCGCAGGCAAGCGGCAACACCGAGGCAAGTGGCAACACCGAGGCGACCACTGGGACGACCTCGACGGTTGTGCCTCCCGGAGAAGAAGGGGAGGAGGAGGAAATCGATCAAGAGGGAATTCCCGACGAAATCAAGAACAAAGTTTACCCCCCTGGTGAAGAAGGAGAGTTTCAGCTCCTCGAAGACATTGAGAACGACGGGACGCTAGACGACGTCGACATTGAGCTGAACAGCAAAGGAATCCCCCATTTGAAGATATCTCCCTCGAAATTTCATCAGCAATCCGTCTATTCGATCCAGTACGAAATCGATAATTCCCAGGAGGAAAAAGACTCTTTGCTTTGTGATACTGTGTTCGCTCTCCAACTTGGTCCGAAACTTTCGAGAGACCCTGATTTGGCAGTTTGGGGGAAGGAACGCTTGGACAAAGAGAAATCTGGTCGTCCTGTACCAAAGTCTAAGGCGATTCCCGAGTTGGACGGGGAACCGTTCATGAACCCGCACGTAAACTTTGAGTATAGTTGGACACATGGTTTGAAGAGTGATGAAATCCCCAAATTCAAGCTGCAAATGGACGACCATTATGAATCTTTGGGAGATATCAAGTTGGGGTTTCTCATCAAGACTATCCTCACCAGTGGAACGAAGTACCCCAAAAAAGAGATCCCATTGTGTGGATTTGATATTTATGAAGCTCATACTCGTGAGGGTGGGAACGTGACAGGATCAGACCCCAATTTCAAGTACCGCGTCGGAGGAGATGAACGTGTCACCTTGACCATTCCAGGTCAGGCCGAATCTTGGTTCCTGGGAAGAAGAGAAAAAAAAGAGAGAGGAGAGGATTGTAGTGGAGGATGTCTTCTTTTGTCCCACCCTGATTCGCCTCTATATAAATCTATTCATCCCTTTAATTCTACGCTGGTCCTAAGACGTTCTTTACTGTCGCTTTCTTATGTCAAACTCTACAGTCTAACGCGCACTCAAATCCAACGTTCCAAATTTGTGAAAAGATACCGAAAAAAGTTATTTAGGGATCGAAATATTTGTACCTTATCCCTTTCCTCTTTCCGGTGCACTTTTTGTGAGCGTGGAACACAAAACCAATGCTTTTATAGTAACAAACTCCACCATGACAGGAGGTCCACGGACGCGGCCAAAGCAAATTGGGGAGGCACAATGGCGGTTTGTCCAGAGAACACGCAGCGCTATTGACAATGATGGCCCCGGATTCTTCTCCAGAACTGGCCTTGGGAAGGATTGGAAGAACATTACTCCATCGGTGGGTGGTCGGTACAACAGCAAAATATTGGACAAGAAGGCCAAGAAATCGACAGTCGAACAGTTCTACGTTAAACCAATTGCGGCATGGGTACCCCACCGGCTCATCGAAAACCACGTTCCCTGCTGCCCTCACTGTAAGACTAGGAAGCATGTTGATGTGGTCAAGGCTCGGTGGCAGAATTGCCCCAAAGTCCTCTTCGGTATCTCTCGAAACAAATATTTGGACACCATGTTATACCCATGCACCAAGTGTGGACGCAGATTCGCGGGCTACAACAAAGAATCCATGAAGCTGGGCTCTTCCCTCTACTACGGCTATTTTACTTTCTATCTTGGTCATGGTTTCGCTGTTGATGAGGAATTGCACCGACTTGTTATCGAGAGTGCATCCACGGAGGCAACTGCAGCCATTGTGAAAAGGCTAACCAGAATGGCCTACAGTGCTTATTGCGAAGATCACGGGCTTTATATTAATGCCATCGGTGCTGAGAAAATCCGTCCTGCCAAGAAGCAGAAAACAATCCAAGACATGATAGTAAGACTTCCAGACAGCGACCTTCAACGTCTCATGAACGCAAGCAATAGGGCGGCACATGATTTAAAGAAAGCAAGAATGTCATGTGATGCAGCAGAAGGGAAGGCTGCTGCAGATTATGCATTCAAGAACATGCTGCGGAAGAAAGACGATCGAAACGTCCATGGGAATCGGAACTTTTTGCCAGGGCTGGGTTCCACCAAGCTTCGCAAATTAATTGATAGTGGCATTGACTCCTGTCATGAATTGTTGAGTGCTGATCATCGCGAATTTCCTAATCTGAAACCATTGCCAAGATGGAAGCGCCTGGTCTCTGATTTTTATGAAAAACTGCGAGCTGACCGTGATGCCAAGAGAGATGATGTCACCAGCGCCATTGCCCGGTACAATCATGCCGTGGATGCGTTGCAGGATTTCTACCAAGAGAATCCGCAGATCCAAGTTGAGGATGAGGAGGAGGGAGATAATGGACAGGAGGAGGTCTTGGAGCGCCCAGTTCCCTTTTCAGAATTTGGTGACAAGACAAAATATAATGGGCGGGTCCTCTCCAAATATAGACTTGACATTATGGTTCAATCTGTCTTCCTGACAGCTCCACTACAGCTTCTCAAATTGACAAGGCGGAGGCTGAGTTGTTTGATGTGTTGGTGCTCCGGTACAATCGCAATATTAACAGTGGAGCAACAAGCTTCAAAGCATTCGAACGGGATTGGAATGCTGAAGTCTCCCGCCGATTCAAGCTGTGGAGCAACGAAGGTGACCGTGCCATCGTGCACCTGAGATACAAGACACGCCTTCTCTTACAGGAGCACTACGACAAGATTCAAGAGCTGAAAAGCCTTGAGGCGGTGACACCAAGGGATGACTAAGACAGAGAGCAACTCGATCTTGAGCTCCGTGCCAACCGAGGTCGACTAGATACACCAGTCGCTGAAAATGTATCTCCGCCTACACTGCGTGGAACCGGTGTTACTCCATTTGGAAATCCAACAACATTGAACAGCGAGGTTGCTGTTGGCACTGTTGTTGGCACATCCAATCCAACCACAACTGGAGTTCCTTTTCAAGTTGGTCTAGTTTGTGTTCCTGCCACTGCTCCTCCAAGACCGACTAGACAAAGATACAAGAGTAGGAAATATTGCAGAAGATGTGGCTTTCTGAAAAGGGATCATGCTGTTGATGATGAAGAAGTGGCAGCAACATACAAGAGTGACTATTGTGGCAAGTGCAGGCAACTGGAGAGATATCACTCTAATGGCTTTGGTCAGTTCTGTGACAAGGATGTTCATCCCATGCAGGCCAGTACTGGGGCAGATTGGTATGAGACTGTGGTAAGTCGCTCCTACTATTGTTACTATGTCACTACTTGGATAACAAACACCAACAATTTCTTTTCCTCTCTCAAAATCCAGCACTAGACACCGGCTCAGGTCCATCTTCAAACATCCAAGGTTCCTCGTGAGTTTCAAGCACTCCATTGATGTGGATATGGTTGATGCAGCCCTCAACATACTCATCAGACAAACAGGCAAGCTGCTTGAAAGTCCAGGAGGTGCCATCATTGTAAGTTCTGTCAAACATGTCATTCCAAGCTTCACAGATCTGCTTCTCATAACTGGAGCTCCTACCAAATGCATTGACACACATCTCTTTCACTAACCACCAGATACACTCTTTGTACATGTTCTTCTCCTCCACAGCAAGAGGATAGCTGACAATGTCATTACAGGTGCCAATGACATTCTGGTACCAGTCAACACTCTTCTCAATTCCCCAAAGCTGCATGGCATCCATGATTCCATTCATTTTGGGAGTGACAACTTTGGCCCTTCCACTAATGATGAGTTCCTCCAGGATCATCTAAGAAGCGCATAATGGGGTAGCGCGAAAACAGCGAGGTCGGTTACAAAATTGCCAGGTCAGTCGATGGTAAGGTTACCAATCGGTAACTGACCTCGCGCTTATGTATGGTGGGTACAA